GATTATCAATCAAATAATAATCATCAAAATAATCAACAGATTAATTGATTTGCAAAATAATTGTTAGTTGCAGCTCTACATTATGCATAAGCACCTAACATATGCACATAACATATACAATTTCCTTGGACGTAAGCACATAACACATACACAAAAACATATACATAGACATGTAAACATATTTTTGGCACTAACGGAACCCTATAGAATATGAATCTTTTTCTCTCCATCTAACTTCTATGCAATTATGAAACTATATGGCTATAAAAGTTTTTTTGGTTGTAAAAATTCACAAAAAAGCATTAATAGTTTTACAGGCAAATTATTAAACATTATCTTACTGTATGTGTAGGTGTTTGACATTACTTACCCTGAGGGAGCATGTTTTTTGATCAGGTATGGGCCTTTTGTTGTGATACCACTCATACTGTGGAGGGGGATTAGCTTCTGCTGTGCATTTCAGGACCAGATTATCCCCCTCAGATGCCAATTGGGACTGAGGATGCTGGCTGATACGCAGTCCACTAACTGAGCCTGGAAACAGACTGCTGCACCCTGCAAGGACAACAGTTTACCAGCATGTTGGATATACGCTGTGAGACGGGGAGAGATCAGGAAAAACAGCAAGTAGGAAAAGGAATACCTGGAGTGGAACCAGCAGAGTGAAGCAGTCGAACATGAGCCCACATGGAGAAGATGTAGTTCTCTCCATGGTTGATTCTACAGATATAGTAACCTTGGTGGGCGGGGCCTAAAGGACACAGAACCAACTCTGGCAAACTTCCCGTTTCATGTAAAATCTAAAGCAAGAAGAGAATCAACATGGGTTAAGAGGAGAATAGAAGCACATTGATTGATTGGTGAAACTGATGTATTAACTGTTGCTCTAACCTCTTCTTTTCCTTTGAACCACTGATAGCTGAGTCCAGGAGGTCCAGATGCCCTGCATGTCAGCACCACCCTGCTCCCCAGGGAAGCCTGCTTAGACTGTGGCTGCACAGTGATCTTAATCTGCTCTGAAACTAACAATTAACACACAACATGAATAGTAAGGAGTACAGGAAGGAACAAACTGCAGGTATTTCAAGTAAGACATGTACCAGCAAAAAATGTTAAAACATCTCATTATTTTCAAACGTGTGCCAACTTGTGAGCAGTGTGATGATCCATCTTTAAAAGTCAAACTTGACAAACTATCAGGGATTAGCTCTTCACACCTTAAGGATTTTAAAGTGTGTACCACTAAAGTTGTGATCATTAAGAACATTTACATTATTTTAAGACAGCAAAAGCCTAAAACCATACATACTTTTCTACAAAATTTATAGGAGAATTGTTGATCGGTGCCTTAAGTTTGTAAAAGGAGAATGATTTTGCCCATTTATGCCCATTGTCTGTTTCCAGAAGCCCAATCTCTAGCAGAAAATGTGTGTTCTTTTTTTAAATAAAAAAAAAGTCTTTAATTGCATTAGCCTAATAGCGAAACTCAAAAGTAAAAATCTTAACCTTAAGTTAAAATACTTTCATTTATTCAGACTTCCCACATTCAAAAACAATTGTTTTTATTTATTACAAAACTTCCCCTCCATTTACAGGCACTCTTCCAGATTCCTATTAAATGTTACCAAAATATTTTACTCCAATTTCTTTTCAAAGGTCAGAGTGCCTTTGAAATTTTAATGATTGCCTGTTTCCCCCAGAAATACAACTGATGTGACACACATCTAATGTTAAGAAAATCTAAATATTCTCCTTTCTAAGAATCATTCCTATTTGTATTAAATATATAAAGTCATACAGTATTTCTGTTTCACTTCATAATGAGGTTGTGCACTACTTTGAGTTGCTCTATCACAAAAAACAAACAAACATGTGATACCGAATGTTTGTTTTTGGTATGTATGAAAATGTAAAAGTAAATTAATTTAAAAAAGAGAAAAACAAGTAAATGTTTGTAAGGAACTGTATGTTGATCTTTCAGCACCTGAATGCCTCACCTCCCCCCTCTGTTTTACCGACCTGTGGTGGAGAGGAACTGCAGAGCTTCCTGGTGTTCCATCTTCCTCAGACAGTAGAGGAGGAAGTCCACAGAGCATCCACGATCTGCTAACCAAGCCAGAAGGGTACGGGCAGGACTGCCTGCAGATTTCAGAACCTGAAGGGAGCAGCTGGTCAGCTCCATTTCACTACAAAGAGAGAGAGGTGGTCTGGATCAGCTGAGCAGGAGGGGTCAGAACCTCAAAAATGAATCAACAAACACACGACAAATTCATATAAGAATCTAAAAAAAACAAAAACAAAAAAACAGAGGAAATAAAAAATGAATTTTATGCAAAATGTTTATTGATAAAAGTAGGTCAGTAATGACAAAGGAAAAGATTTACGTCCCAGAACTCAAAACTGAAACAATTCTATCCACTATACCTTTTATTTAGAAAGCACAGATGTTTAAATATCTATTTGTTAACAAAGGCTGCAGGAAAGTATAGGTTGCCTTTATTTAGAAAATATTGTTTTTTTTTTTTCACATTAATTTTCCTGTTGGAACAGTGTAGATTCAGAGGCATAGCCACAAAATTTTAATAGGGGTGGCCAGTCAAAAACCAATGTAAACTGAGGGGTGGCTGAAAGCGGCTAGGCGCCAGAACCTCAGGGTCCATCTACACTGTTCCAATAGGAACGAGCACAACATCCATAATTTCTAAATAAAGACAAACTATACTTTTCTACAGCCTTTTGATTACAAATAGATGCATATATTTAAACATCCATGCTGTCTAAATTAAAGCTATAGGGGACAAAATGTCTGTAGCGAACATCGTTTCCATTGTCATTACTTACCTACTTTTATCAAAAATTGTTCTGCATAACATTAATATTACATGTACTAAAATCTACATTAAATTAATTTTTAAGCTATTAAAGTAGTTATTGATCTATGATTTCACTGAAAACTCCTTGATGACTTGCAGAGACACATAATTTTCTCTTTACCCCATATAACACAAAAGAGAATGCATTTTGTATATATCAACTTTAATGTTTGTATTTTAATGTGCATAATTAACCACAGCGTTTTAGTTGTCAAGTAACTATTGATATATGAAAAATTAAAATGTCTAATAAGTTTAAAAATTCCTTTTGTTAGTATTACTGCTGCCACCGTCTGTATTAGAGGGCGAATAAAAATGGTAGGGGTGGCCAATGATTGGCTAAGGGTGGCCATGGCCACCTCTGGCCCCCCATCTAGCTCCGCCCCTGTGTAGATTGACCGGGAGGTTCTGGTGCCTGTTCACTTTCGGCCAATAACCAATGTACCCCTCACCCTCAGTGTACATTGGTTATTGCCTGCCCCCCTTATAAAAATGTTCTGGCTACGCCTCTGGATACAGAGAATATATGATGCCTTCAGGGTCACTCACCTGCATCGGAATTGTGGCTGTTCCGCCGCCGCGTTTGCCAGCTGCCTCCATCCACAACTGCAGTTGTCCAGCAGCTTTGACAGCTTCGTCAACCCTGCTTCACCGAGACTGGTGATATTCATTGTTTTCCAATCTTCTAACTCCTTAGCTACCCTTTCCAACATACCATAAAAAGGCACAGATAGACAACAAATTAAAATGAGACACGTTGGTACTAAAAAGAGCCGCGGTGATTCCTCTCTGAGAAGTGATTCACTAACAGTAAGAGCGAACTATCGAACTAAAAATGAATGGTCTCTAATCACAAAACCAACCCACGGACACCGAGACTTTAGAAAACTACAGGCTTTAAACACAACTCTGGGATTTCCCAAGTTAAGACGTTATTGTGATTAGGCTGTAACGTAACAGGCTGAAGAGCAACAACAAATGTTGAAATAACAATAAATAAGACAAAATATGAAGTTAAACCAGAACAAGCTGAACAATCTGCAGCTGGGCTGCCGCTTCCGCCATGAGCTGAGCTGAATATCTTGAAGTAAAGTAGGGGGGAAAAAGTGAAAGTTTACCAAAAACGTCCGAGCCGGGAGGAAACCCTGAGCGCGTGTGACCGTGGGATGGGTGGCCTGGGAGTCACGCAGGTGTCCGGGACATTTTTACACGCTGGAGCCTCCCCGATCTGAAGAGACAACTAGGTTCCCCAGATACTCTGCTTCTCATTTCGGTTCCTCTTTCTTTCTGCCATCCCTGGCACGTATGACTGTCATTTGCATGAAGTGTTTCTATGGTTACGCCTTTCACAGAGCCCCACAACAGAGAAAATAATTATTCAGGGCGTTTTTATGTTTTCCATGTCTCCATAATTAATTTTTTTAATAATAACCTGGTAAGTTCATACTCACCTTTTTCAACAATCTTAAATATTTACAAGTTGTACAGCTCTTATATTGTGTTTTTTATTTTTTTTTTATTTGATGGGTTATTCTACCACATCTGCTTGTTTTGATCTAACCCAGTTATATATGGCTTATATGTTGCACTGGTCTTATACTGGAAGAAGAACCAGTCTCAGGTCCTTTGCAACCTTTAAAAATATTTCCTTCCAAGCTTTAGATCTCTTGATGAATAATCCCACAGCATGATGCTGCCACCATCATATTTCACTTAGATTATATCCAGTGTTGGTTTCTTGTTGTGTTGTGCATTTTTTCCTTCATTAATTAATAAAGTGACATTTATACATTTTGTATAGATAAGGATCTTGCTTCATAACCTTACCGTGCATGAGACTTCTACACGAGGGCATTTCAAGTATTTCTGATGCATTCCTCGTTGTCCGTTATATAGAATCTAGACTGCTGTCCAACCATTTTTGACAGAGTAGCTGCAATAAAGTGTTACTCAGGTGGCTTTTTTTTCATAAAACAAAAAATCTGTAGATCAAATGTTTGTTCTTTATTTTAGTTCACAGGCATTAAAGTAAAGTAAAGTAAAGTCAATACTTATTTTGCAAGACAAATAAAGAAAACACCTCTTGTCATTTTCCTTTACAGTCAAATGATTTGTGCTGCACACCCCAAATGTACTACTTTCTTGGAGTCAATTACTTTATAATAATTTCTAGAGGTGGGATTCTAATCGCATAATTAATTTACATTGTCTGAAACACACAGGGCTTTTTGCAAAGTTAAAAAAAGGCACAATCACTATGGTTTATGAAAGAAAAGCAGAACAAGCACAAAAGTGAAAAGACACGCTTTAAGGTCCCATCTTTTATTATAACAGTAGATCTTGAGTTTTAGTACTTAACTCCACCGCCACTTTTGTGCAGCGCCTTCCTAACAGAATAAAGGAAAGAAATCACTTCTGTTCATCTTCTGACTACAGTAACCATGCTGCAGGACAAGTGCCAAATAGATTCCCTCATTACAGACATTAGTTACATAGAAACGTCCCATCACTTTCATAGTTATTCATCCCCAGCTGTGAAGTGTGTCGCTCAAACAGACGGAAGCCAAATGTCAGTCCAGTGAAGGGTCTACAGCTTCTTCCCTTTGTGCAGTCTGTTGTAGCGCCAAATGTTCTCCTTCCTCAGACGTTTCCAGTACTCCCAGGTGTCAGGTTCCAGCTCGTGCAGCTTTTTGGCTTTCCCCAAGTCCAACTGGAACAACCTGAACAAGTAAAACGAAAAGGAGGAAGAAGGAAAGATGTGACAAAACTTCAACTATACCGACTAAGACTGGTTTCTTCCAACGAGTGACTTTGTGATGTCTTTCAAAATAAATTTGTGATGACTGCAGTAATTCTAACATGATTAGAGGCAGCTTTAATGGTGCAGTTTGTGTTCACAAACTAGGAATGTCACTTCTGCTTTCCATCACTCACATTGTTATCAACAGTTCACATTTTTATAGCCTTATCGGTATAAAGGACAGGTGTGCGTTAAAATATTGATATAAATTTTAACGTAAATGAAGACATGAATACAGTCCTCTCTTGTCTGTTTTCCAAACTTCTTGCATCTTTGAAAAAGGGTAACAAACCTGCAAATCAAATAAAGCTTTCTACAGTAACAAAATTAGTTATGTAGATGTAGCTATTAACAAGAAGTATACATTTTTATGTTTACCTAGTATTCAAAGGGAGATAATAACTGAGGTTCCCTTTTTTGGTGATGTCACCAGCTCTAATGACATCCACTCGCCAGCATACTCTGTGTTTTATCATTGTAGATATTCTTATAAAGCTTGTTTCTCTCACAAGTCAATTTATGCATTTTAAAGCAATCTTGATACTAAAGGTAATTAAACTGATAATACTTAATAAAAGATTAAAATAATAATAAATGGATTTTGAAGACGTTTTGATTCACATCCAGGAAGCTTTTTCCAATTAAAAATGTAAATAATTGAAAGTTTCCTGGATGTGAAGAGAAATGTCTTCAAACCTGGAAACAAAGTTTAGTGGATTGTTTTTTTTAACTTTTTTTGGAACGACTATGACCTGGATGACTGATAATCTTCACTAGCATACGACATTAATACGCATTAATAAACAACAGGTGGCCCATTTCATTTCTCTAAGGAAACCTTTAACAGCCCATATTGTAATGGGACACAGAACAATTACAGAAAAAGAATTCCAGACCAACAGTTGGACACAGCAGCCAAAGTGCTATGCAAGGAGTTTGCATTACAACTATTGTAAACAGAGAGCCTCCAATTAAAAGCAAGAGGTTTTATTTTCAGTTAAATTATAATAGACAAAAATAAAAAAAAATCTTAACCGGATACCACGACCAAGACAGAGGTTGGTTATCCTATTGAGCTTGAAAGGTTAGTGGTTAAAAGCCATCTAGAACACAAAAAAACATAAATTCAGACAAAAAATCTAAAGAAATGCTCGGGTTTTTCCTTAACGATTAACACTTTTTATGAGGAGAAAGTACCATAATGCAGCCAATGAGTGATTGAGCAGAGGTAAAAAAAAAAAAATGTACATGTGTGTAAGATAAGAACACATTAACTCACCACTCAGGATATTCCTCAGGAGGCTTTAGTTTGGGGTCCTCCCCTTGTTTGTAGATGTTCACCCCGACAGCATAGGACGTTAGTCGGACTGGGTCTTTACACACCTCTGGACCTTTCAGTTCCTCTTTCATCATGCCTTTACCTTTTCCTTTGGAAGCTAAAAGATGGTGAACAAGGTTTGAGTTGATATGATGATGCCCAGCAACAAAACGTTAACACATACACGAAGGAAATTATAAGCAATCAACCATTTAGAGCAGGGGTCTCCAACCCTGGTCCTCCAGATCTACTGTCCTGCTCCAACACAGCTAATTCAAGTGGCTGAATGACCTTTTCATGCCATCAAGTTGGACATGGGGCCTATTAACTAGTGATGTTATGAGATGAGCCGAGGCTTCGAGGCATATGTCGAGTATTGGAGGGAGCTTTTCTGTGAGGCGTGTATCGAGGCTTGCTTTATTTGGGGGAAGAGCTAAAATAGATGACGTCCAAAGCCTCGCTACCTGCCATACCACCTGACTACTTCAGGAAGTGGTTCAGCTCACCCGGAACTTAGACAGGCATTTAAACAGCCTCTGTGTTCAGTCAAGATGTGGGAGTTTGTAGGAGAGTTGGATAGATTCTAAGAATAGATTGGTGTTTTTCTTCCAACCAATCTAGTTGGTTTAAATTAGTTTGGTTAGAATAAACAATGTAATGATCAAAATCTGAGCAGGCCACTGATCATAGAAGTATTGGATTTTAAGTAGTAATGCTCTCTTTAGGTATGTCACTTACTAATGGCATCAGATGTAAGAAATGTACTTCCAATCTTCAGGTTGTTGGTTTAAGACCCACTTTAGACTTTTAAAAGTTGTGATAAAACACAATAAGTGTTTTGGCTATTGTGGCTAATTTGTATTCGTTGCCCTATTACAAATATAGATTGGTAAAAAACACTAAAAATTTGATTGGTGGGTTTAACCAAAAGATTGGTTGAACACATAACTTTTAAACTAATTAGACCAAAATCTGTGGAAAAACTATTATGTTTAAATAAAAATGACAAACACCTTTGATTTTCTCATCATTGCCAAATTAGCACAAGACTTTCACGGTCTGCTTGAGCTTATTTCACTAAATAGCAGAAAAACAGCGTACCTTAAATTATTTTTCTCTTCTAAGACATTTTACACCCAAAAAAACTAAAGATTTTATCATACAGAACAAACATTAACACTTTCAAATGAACTTCAAAACGAGAAAAACAATATGGCAAAAAAAAGAAGAAAATCACAGATTATATTATTAACTGCAGTTCTGCACTCCACCAGTAGGTGGTGACATGTTCATATGAGGCTTCATGAACTGTGGGGATCATTTAGGTAATTTGGCCAAACGGATGAGGCTTCATCTCACCATACTACTATTAACGCATTTGATTCATTTGTGTTCAAGCAGGGATTAATCTAAAACCTGTATGATAGTAGATCTAGAGGATCAGGGTTGGTCACCCCTGCTTTAGAGATAAAACAGTAACACACACAGCTGATAGAAAATGAGATAAAAATAATAATATTGGAGGGAATAGATTCAACACTGCCGTAAATGATAAAATCCCGCATCTAAACTGATTTACAAGTTGCCCTGGGAAAATATTATGTGACTATTTATAAACAGAAGTAAGACATTAGCTTCACTCACCAACTTTCTTAGCATATCCGCATATCTGTGTTGTGTTAAACGTGTTAGTTCTGCATAAAAACGCTCCAGCACCGCTTCTTATGCAATGAGCGCTCGGTTCTACTGCTGTCCGAAATAGACTGTAGGCAAACATTTTTTACACGGGGTTATCTGAACACACAACAAACCATGCTACCGTTTGACATTCATTTATGTATCCGACTTCCGTTTTCTGCTTACTTATCTGTAGATAACAATCTACAGCGCCCCTTTCGCACCGGAAGGAACATTGCAGGCAAGAAATACACGGTTTTGGGGCGTGATAATTTTTTTTAATCCAGTAGGTAGCAGCAGTGAGGCACTCGGTTACCTTAGATGAAAACAAAGGAGAAGAAGACCGCAGGAAAAGTTCTCGAAAATGTCCGAGTACGAGAAGATCCAGAAGAGCGCCCTAAAAATTAAAGGGCTGGGGGAACTTTCAGCAGGAAAGAAGTAAGTAACGTACCGTTAATGAAATATATTAGCAACTCATAACTTGGTCTGTGCTTCAAACGAACTCTTTGTTGAAACGTAAGCCTCTGAAATATCGTTAGCTCTTAAGCTAACACGATAATTTCCTTTCTTCCTCACCGTGTCTAAAACGTGTTTAGCATGAAAATGACACACAAAAAAACACCTCAATGTTCGTAGTGCTATGGGGAAAAACTAAATGTAGAGTTTTATGGGAACCTTATAATAATCTCTACAAATAAACTTGCCTTGCCTTGAAATCCTGGATATTTAGCACTAGCAGCAACAAAGCCACTGCTATGGTCATATGGTGCGATACAGATTAGCAAAAGTCTTTACTGCTAAATTAACAACAGGCATTTTCAATGCCATGCAAGAAACTAGGCTAGGCTAGGTTAGGCCACCAAGATCCCATATCCTTCTAAATTCATCACACTTAATATTTGTGGATTAACTAACTAGTTCTATCCGTTAATCTCAAATTCTTAATCTCAAAATTTCATATGATTTTTTTAAAATACCTGGCTGCGAATAGACTTTGGTATGGGTGAAGCTGAAGTAAATGTAAAAACCGTTTAAAATGAAACAAGAGAATCTAAGTTCAGCAAACAGCTGTTTGGCTTGGGGGAAGCTGAAATAAATCTGTCGCTTTCATGATTATTAAAGCTATTTGGCTACATTAAATGGAGCCATATATTACAAAACAAAACAAAAAAATCTGCTCATTTAATTTGGAAAAATGGGGATTATTAGGTTACAGTGTTTACTGTCCATTTAGAAAAAAAAAAAAACAAGTTAATCAAAAGCCATAGAGAAAAAGCAAATATTTGCCTTTTTAATGTTTAAATATATTTTTTATATCACTTTTTGTTTCATTTTGAGGGGTTAATCTTACAAGCAAAAAGCAAGTGAAGTAAACAATTTTAACCTGAATAAATCTGACCCAGGTTTGCAAACCTTATTTAAAGAACTTGGTGTGATAATTGTTTCGAAGTAGCATGAATCATGATATGTATATTCTTTTCTTGTTTACCAACAGGTATGCTTGTTTCTCTAGCTATGATTTTGTGTTTTACTAACTTATAACAATATGGATTCAAATCAGAAGAGAAACAAAACTTGCAATGGGAGTTTTTACCAAAATGTAATAATTCATCTGGTTCAGATGAAACTGAGGGGTGATTAGCTGTTTTTTTTTTCTTTTTTTCTTTTGTAGGAAGAAGAAGAAGAACAAAGAGAGTAAACATCGCATGGAGCAGATTGTGACGGGAGAAAATGATGAGGAGGAGGTGAAGACAAAGAAAGCATACATTGACAAAAGGACACCGGCACAAATTGCTTTTGACAAGATGCAAGAAAAGAGGGTAGGTTTTAAACAAAAAAAAAAAACACATATCTGATATGCTATCAATGGTTATATGTAATTACCAGTGAAAAAAAGATTACAAAATTGGGTTTGGTATTATGGCTTTTATTGGTTTTTATTACAGCTGGTTCATATGGCATGATTTTAAAGGAAAAGTCTGGTCAGCAAGGTTGATCAATATATCATTATCTATACCTAGAACTAATATGTTCACAGTTATTTAATGAATTTAGCGTTAATCAGTAAAAAAATAAAAATAATTTTCGTTGCAATCACCAAGTCCAGGACCGACCATTGTAACCCAAACATATATACACCTCACTCCTAATATCTTCAGGCAGTGATGTCACAGTGCGGTAAGCCTGCAATCAACAACAATTATTTAAAACTTAAGAAAATAAGAGAGAAAGAAAGAGCTGTAGTTAAACTGACAATGCCCACGTGTGTGGCAGTTGGGTGTTGTAATACATTCAACTGTTAAAAAAAAATTTATTTCACCTTTCTGATTCACGATGCACCACGGAGGAGTTCGTCGTTGGATTGCCAACTTGAAGAGGGAGAATTTGCCATCAAACTTCTGGTCAGGGAAAAACGAGTCATATGTAGCCAACATTTAGATGAGGAATGTTTTCAAGATAATAGTTTTGGATAATAGCGCATTGTGCCAAACAACAGATACAGCACTGGGACTTGCTCAACAGCCGATTCCGCATCGTGACGTCACAAACCGGTAGGTGGCAGTAGTGTTGTTTGACAGACATGGATGCCTCCGGTAAAGCACATTCAAATGAAAATTACTCTTAATTAAAAACACTTATCATTTATTGAACAGTATGTAAAAAAATTTTATATTTAAGGTACTTTCAGAAGTTGACCGGACTTTTCCTTTAAAATGGGCATAGAAGTGTTTTGGACATGCAGTGTGCTGTCTCCAGCCACACCATTAGGACAGCAAACCACACACTTTGCTCTCAGTGTTCTTCAAGCAAAGGATGAGCACAGACACATTTTCTGCATGATGCCAGTCTATATGTGTGACAGCAGATGCCATGCCTTGGCTAGATTGAATGGGTGGGGGGCGGTTGCGGTTTTAAAAAAAAGTTTTTTAACCAAGAAAATACACCTCAAAATGTAATCCATGCAGATGGTTCATCAAGATTATAATCCTACCTTTAGATGTAATGTTGATATATTTAATCACCTTAGCTTTTAACTATACTTGTTCAATACAGTAACAAAATATCGACTGTCTTCCATCAAGCTCCCGGATCAGCTTTCCTGATTGGCTGAAGTTCAGATTTTCAAACTTTAACATCTTATTCTGAAAACATCTGACTCGAGGGACACCAGACACACGACAGGATACCAGGCCAAGACAATCCAACTTTTTGGATTTCCTCATTGTAGTATGATATTGGGAATAAAAATTCTTATTTTAACACTTTTCACTCCTAAAGAGAAAAAAGCTTTCCAAAACCATCTGTAAAGAAGTTCCAGGTCTTTAGCCTTATCAGTCAACCATGAAGTGTTTGTATGAACCGGTAATAGTTATTTTATAATACAATTCAGGCATTTTATTCCAATTTTCTTTGCATAAACATTTCACTAAAGGCTGGTTTACACTTCAAGATTATAACGCCGACTTCCCATTCTGCGGTTGGGAGTTTTAGCCTGATTTTTTTTTTTTTTTTAAACAGAATCCTTAGTGAGATCTGTTCATGCTTACTATCTGTACCACATACCATGTGAGAAAATCTGTATCGCCCTCCTTTTTTTATTTCAATAGTTACCTTTGGAGTCTCTCGGGCTTTGAAAATGTTAACCAACCTTCAAGTAACATGAAAAGGTTTTCAAATATGACTGGCCTGTTTATGGTGGTGTTTTATTATGGTTATTTACATTGATTAACTCATAATTTAACAAATGGGGGGTGGTTAATTTTCTGACTTAGTGCCAGGTTTGGCAGGATGGCTGTCCCCCTTAATAAAGATCATACTGGTAAACTGTATGTTTTTCCCTCCAGTTTTTAAGTTTGATATTGACATTTGTTTGATCTGAAACGTATTTAGTGACGAATGGCACAAAAGACCAGATGTTTAAGTAGGAACTTTTTACTGCAAAGTATTGCAGTAAGCTAAAAGTTATTTTCCAAATCAGTCTGTCAACAAACCCTTTACCCTCCTCAAAATCAAATAAGTTTAGATAAACTCGTGCAATAAGAACTTTGAAGCCATGGATACATTCTAAAGGTTAAACTGCAGAAATCCTGCCACAGCTGATATCTTCTGTTTTCTCAAAAAACAAATGTTTATGTATTAACTTGTCAACCATTGTTGTTCTGTTTAGAGGGCATCATTTTGGGTAAATTCAACTTATTTTCGGTCTCTTCTTACAGCAAATGGAACGAATTCTGAAGAAGGCATCAAAGACACACAAGCATAGAGTTGAGGTGAGTTATCTGGTGCAGGTTAAATGCATTTTACTTCTCAGGAAAAAAAAATACTTTATATCCATTTAGAGAGATACTGACCATATGGATATATTTTGTGTAATTGTTTTATTTGTAATTGTTTTTTGACTGAATATCTCATGGCTTCATGTACCATTTGTTTCCATAATGTAAAATGGGATTTTTAACTGAAGATTTGATTTCTTTATAGGATTTCAATCGCCACCTGGACAACCTTACAGAGCATTACGATATTCCAAAAGTCAGCTGGACCAAGTAAAAAACAAGCCAATTTTTTTTTTTTTTTTGTATGTTTTTGAAACTTTTTCCTTGCATGTTTATGAAATGCCCTTTTAGAATTGAAGTGGCATTAATCCTCAGTTGTTACTTTTCCTGTACACAATAAACTATTTAACGTTTTAATGTGTGGTGTGTTTCTATCTCTATCAAACATGTGCTTCAGGGATTTTTTCCAATGTTTGAATGGAAACATGTCATCAGGGTACTTTTTATTTTAGTTATTCAACCAGACACTGCAAATATGGCACTCTGCATATTCTGTAAACCTGAAGAAAAACTGTACTGCCATTCATATTAACAGGAAATATTTTACTTAAATACACATTTGTATGAATTAACGGATTCACTGACACCATGATGGGATGCAGTGGTTATCAAATCAATCCAATGAGTTTTAAGACTCAAGTTATGAAAAAAACAAACTTATATCTGGCAAGAGAGGTAAGAATTTAGAAAGGTTCATGAACTTCCAACGTGCTGTAGTGTACTCAGAGTTCACTTTGGCCCGAGCATTTCAGCAGGCTTCACCCACTGATCAAACTGCTCCTCGGTCAGGTAGCCCAGCTCCACGGCCACGGCCTTCAGCGTGGAGCCCTTCTTGTGAGCGGTCTTGGCGATGGTGGCCGCTTTATCGTAGCCGATGTGCGGGTTGAGGGCGGTGACCAGCATGAGCGACTCGTTCATCAGCTTGTTGATCCTCTCCGTGTTGGCCTGGATGCCCACAACGCAGTTGTTGGTGAAGGACACGGACGCGTCTCCGAGCAGGCGTGCGGAGTTCAGCACGTTCTTCACCATCATGGGTTTGAACACATTGAGCTCAAAGTGTCCGTTACTCCCTCCCACGGTCACGGCCACATGGTTCCCCATCACCTGGGCCGCCACCATGGTCATGGCCTCACACTGGGTGGGGTTCACCTTGCCCGGCATGATGCTGCTGCCTGGCTCGTTCTCCGGTAGGATGAGCTCCCCCAGGCCAGAGCGGGGTCCTGACCCCAAGAATCGGATGTCGTTGGCGATCTTCATCATGCTGACAGCCACAGTGTTCAGAGCTCCACTCAGCTCCACCAGAGCGTCATGAGCTGCCAGAGCTTCAAACTTGTTTGGGGCTGTGATGAATGGGAGGCCGGTGAGAGAAGCGACTGTAGCGGCGACCTTCTCGGCGAAGCCAATGCGGGTGTTGAGACCTGTACCAACCGCCGTCCCCCCTGCTGCCAGTTCATACACCCTGGGCATGGCGGCCTTCACCCTCTCGATGCTGTACTTCACCTGCTGGACGTAGCCACCAAACTCCTGCCCGAGCGACAGCGGGACAGCGTCCTGAGTGTGGGTCCGTCCGATCTTGATGATGTCTTTGAACTCTTCAGCCTTGGCAGCCAGGGCGTCATGCAGGGTCTGCAGGCCAGGCAGTAGGACATGGTGGACCTCAGTGGCTACAGCTATGTGCATGGCAGTGGGAAATGTATCATTGGAGCTCTGACTCTTATTAACGTGGTCATTTGGGTGAACTGGATCCTTGGAGCCCAGTTTCCCCCCTAGTATCTCAATGGCCCTGTTGCTGATCACCTCATTAACATTCATGTTCGTCTGAGTTCCTGATCCAGTCTGCCACACCACCAGAGGGAAATGATCATCCAGTTTACCTGCTGAAACCTCATCTGCAGCCTTTATGATTGCATCTGCTAGCTTAGGGTCCAGGCCGTAGTCCTTGTTCACTTCAGCGGCTGCTCTCTTCAATATACCAAAGGCCTTGATCACCTGGATTGGCATTCTCTCACTGGGTCCCCCGATCTTGAAGTTCATGGTGGATCTGACCGTCTGGGCGCCGTAGTACTTGTCAGCAGGGACCTTGAGCTCGCCAAAAGTGTCCCGCTCAAGCCTGAACTCTGAGCCGGCCATCTTGGAAGTACAGATCAGGAGTTTAGAGTTGGCGTGGAGTTTTTGCAGGGTCAGGAGGTTGCAGTTAAACTGCCGGACGCTTTTTAATGAGCGAAACATGGCTTCTCATTAGAGGTGAAATTTAGGGGGAGGTCAGCGCAGCTTTCCACATTGTAACCTGTCATTGGGCGACAAGAAACCGTTGAAGGCACGACAGCCAATCATGGAGCAGGAGAGGCGCGACTTCCGGCTTCGGGCGGAAGTGTAAAGCTCCTCAAAACATTGTACTCTGTCCCTTTCGATAAACAGAAAATTCAGAAAATAAAAGTCAGTATTTTGTAAAAATTAAATAAATAAATACATCTTAAAGAATATTGTTGGACAAGCTTTTGATTATTGTGCCTGGTTTTATATTTTATTTTATTTATTTCTCCACATATATTATTCAATACTACAGGGCAACCTATTCTGTTTTTTTATATGATTGTATGAAGTTTAATCTAAAAACACAAGCTTATGATATTTATTAATTTAATATGCACATATTTTTTTTTTTCATATTTTATTTTAGGGGAGGTGTGATAACCACAAATTACTTATAGTTTTCATCTCCTTTTGCTGATTCAAACCAAAGTTAAACTTCCAAATACAATAAATACCAAGTATCTAAATAAGTCTATTGACAAGAAAGAAAGAAAGAAAGAAAGAAAGAAAGAAAGAAAGAAAGAAAGAAAGAAAGAAAGAAAGAAAGAAAGAAAGAGAATAAAACAAAAATATCCATTATCGTAGATAATAATACACATTATATAGTTATGTTCCCCCTCCTCTGGCAGATTTGCCAGTTAGTTTTATGATTATTTTTGCATATACATGATTCCCTTCTCAGATCTAAAACAAACAGACTCAAACACATGACATCACACTTTAGTTAGTTTCAGTTATAAAAAGTAGATTGCTGGAAATATTGTAAATACAATTATGTCCTGTCAAAGAGGAAGCCTACCAGATATGGAGCGGCAAATCATTCCAGAGTTTGGGGCTGGCTGCAGAGAAAGTTCCCTCTGAGTGTACGCTACGTTCTAGGTACTGACAGGAATAATTGATCCACTAAACTAAGAGAACAAAGTGGAATTAGGAGATCTGAAATATATGGTGGAGCAAGGCCATTTAAAGACTAAAAAACAATATATTTTTTCATTAATCCTGAAATTAATCAGAAGCCACCAAAGTGAATTTAAAACTGGAGAGATATGTTTAAACGTGTCCCAGTTAGAAGTGGTGCAGCAGTAATTTGAACCGTCTTCAGATGGGCAATTAAAGAGTACTCACAAAGGCGTGGATCATTGTCTCCAAGTGTGCTTTGCTCAGCATGAACTGTACTTTGGCCAGCTGCTGCAGCTGAACAGAACTTGATTTGACAACAACTTTGATCTGGCAGGCAAAGTTAAGATGACTGTCCATTTTAAGACCTAAATTTATGGTTATTGGCTTCACAAGCTGATCTAGATAGTCCAGAAGTAAAGGTAGACTGTCTGAAGTACTTCAAAAAACCATCACTTCTGTCATTTTTATGTAGGTTACATGTAGTGGAAGTTCTGGAAAAACAGGGAATCGGGTTGGGGGTGGGGGGTCTAAAATTAATGTTATATCAAGTGAGACTTAATATAGCTGAAGCTTAAAGGTGATTGAACTTTTCAAACAACTGATAAAGTAAATTACAAAGGTGAATAATAAATTTGTCTAAGGGATGGATCACTTATATATCTTTTGAAAAAATTCTGCTCAAAAGAAGTACACTGAAATTACACTTTGTAAACTCTTTTGAAATTATTAACTATATTCTCAAAACAAGAAGGTAATCAATCTCAAAAGAAAT